ATGCCGCGGTGAGCACTCCCGCCCGGCGCACTTGTCGCCGCGCCGCGCCAGCCCCAGCGAGCCGGGTCTCCCCGCCCCGCCAGCCCGGACCCTACCTGCGGCCGCCGTCGGGGAAGGGGGGTCCCCCCCAGCTCTGCGGAGCCGCATGAACAATAGGCGGCGGCGGCTCCTGCGGGCGGCGGCAGCCCCGCACCCTATGGATCGGCCGCTCCATGGAGCCCTCCAGAGCGCTTCTCGGCTGCCTGACGAGCGCCGCCGCTGCCGCCCCGCCGGGGGAGGACGGAGCGGGGGCCGGGGCCGAGGAGGAGGAGGACGAGGAGGAGGAGGCGGCGGCGGCCCCGGGGGAGCTGGGTCCCGAGGCACCGCTGCCCTACTGGACGGCGGTGTTCGACTACGAGGCGGCGGGCGAGGACGAGCTGACCCTGCGGCTGGGCGACGTAGTGGAGGTGCTGTCCAAGGATTCGCAGGTGTCCGGCGACGAGGGCTGGTGGACCGGGCAGCTGAACCAGCGGGTGGGCATCTTCCCCAGCAACTACGTGACCCCGCGCAGCGCCTTCTCCAGCCGCTGCCAGCACGGCGGCGAGGACCCCAGCTGCTACCCGCCCATCCAGTGTAAGGCGAAGGCGGGGCCGCGGAGCCGGGCGGAGAAGGGGGTGGGGGGCTGGAGGCCTACGGGTGGTCGCAGGGCGGGTGGGGAATGATTGACCTGGGAGTGGGTGCGCCCGCGCGCTCGGGCTGCAGGGGCTGCTCTGGTGGGTGCGATGGGTAAGATAGAGACGCCGCAGGCCTAGCCTGGAACCTCAGGCGCTTGGGCTCCTTAACCTTCATCTGACCACCTCAGCAGTAGCTTCCGCTTTCCACATCCTGAAGCCCCAGCATGAGAATCTCCCCATTTCGCACTCCCCGCTTCCCCAAATCTGGAAGGATTGCAGGCCAGCTGGTAGTTTCTGTCATCATCTTAGTCCCCAAATCGGGGACCTTCCCGACCTCTTCGACCGCCTGTCCCCGCCCCTTCAAGGCATTTGCTTTGAAGCAGATGGGGGTGTCTCGCGCAGGGCTGGCTGGGCTGGCTCTTCTCATGTCCCGGAAGCCTGTGTGAACTCAAGGCTGAAGTGTCTTTGAAATGTCGTGTTGATTTCTTGGATCGCAGTCTTGTGTCAGAAGTTGTACCTTTAGGAGTCTCACTGAATTAGGTGCTGGGAAGGGTGCGAGTGTGTGAAGAAGCAGGTGATGATGGGTGGAGAAATGATTGGAGAGGGAAAAGTATGTCCTTCCCCCATGAGAGATCAGGAGCACAAGGTACAGTGGCTAAGTCCCAGTCCCTTGACACCCAGGCTGTTCAGATAATACATTTTCTCCTTTCTTCTCACCCTAGATCCTTGCCTATATTTGGTATTTGCCAAATCTCAAGGGGACCATGCCCATGGGTCCCTCCCAGGGCCTTTCTTCCAGTGTCCTGGTTTTCACCAATTTCCCAGGAGCCCCCTGTTCCACACCCTGCAATGAAATTTCCTTTGTTTTTATCAAAGGAGTTAAACTGCCATTGGAATCCCTTAATCAGTTCTGCTAGGTGGTTTTAGAAGATGTAAATACCTTCTTGTGCAGTTTATACTGTTTTATATTTGATGATTTCCATAATTTCTTCCCTGCTAAAAGGTATTGTTAATACGTATTTATTATTGTTTATTCCATATTTTGTATACTTTACATTTTAGTTAGTTAAAAAAAATTATTACCAAGGGCCGACTTTAGGCATTTAGTTTTTAAATTTCATTTGTAACATTTATCTTTCGGTCCTGTAACTTATTTTCATCTGAACAGTTGTGTTACTTTATTTAAGATGTTTTCTTTAAATACCATCACTTAATATGAAAAGCATAACCTCTTTCCTTATTTTTCTATTCTTCTTTATTGGTGTTTTGACCATCAAATTGATGTTCAAATCCTTAGTTCCCTTTGTTTCTGTCTCCCTCTCATTCAGTGTAAAACTTCTTGTTTTCTACATTTTGATCTTTATAATGCCTGGAGGCAACAAATGATTTTAAATGGTTTCTGGGTATTAAATCTGGCTGTAGTACTGGGAGGTGGAGGTTAATGGTCCTAATGTAGTATCTGAAATAGCGCTGAAGATGAACTTGGTCACATGCTGGAAGAGATACTGGAAGAATGGCCTGGCATATTAGACACAGTGCAGTTTTTTATACATAGTCAAAGGTTTGAGGTTCTTTATGGGTGACGTTTTGTGATTTTTTTTTTGTACAGCTAACGTCAGAGTGGGAGAACTGTGTGAGGCTCTTAAGCAGGAACTCTGTTTCTCCCGTCTCTGTGCCCAAGCTGTCAGAGCAGTCAGGAGTGAATGTGACTTGGGCTGGAAAAATTCATCTGCCGAACACCAGCCAGGGCCACAGTGTGCTATGTTAGCAGCCCCTTCTCCCTTGGGTGCCCAGGACTTAATCTTTATTGTGACAAAAGTTACCTTAGATAGACTAGCTTCTTGTATCTAGAACTCAGATGTTAAGGAAGTAGGAAGTACTTTGTGCTTATTAAAAGAATTGACTTGAAGAACATGACACTTGAAGGCCTTGGTAAGTTATTTAGTCTCATCAGCAGTTCCGAACTTGAATGGAATTAATTCTTGATAATTCAGAAAATTTAATTCCATTCAAAAACCAGTTAGAGCACCTAGCAAAAGATAGATACTGTATTAAATACCAGGAGATAGGGGTGCCTAGCTGGTTGAGTTGGTGGAGCGTGCGACTCTTGAGCTCAGGGTCGTGAGTTCGAGCTCTGCCTGCGGTGTAGAGATTACTTAAATACAACTTAAAAAAAAAATACCAGGAGATAAAGAAATGATAAGATAAGGAGGTGCTTATAAGTCACAAATGCTTTGATAAAGATGAACTTGGGAAATTGCTAACAGGTGCTCTGATGGGTGTCCTGCGTCCACCATTTTAGTTAGTGTCACTCGGAAAATAAAGTGATTGACAACCTTGTCTCCAAAGACTTGGAATGAAATTGAGCCACTGACAGCTTTTCCCTAGTTACCCTTTTGAGCTTCTCTTCTGGGGTATGAATTGTGACATTGGATTATGAATAGCAGACAGTCAGTTAAGTAAGAATGTTTAGTTTTAGTTTTAAATATTGCTTTTTAAGTTGAAAATTTTGTTTCAAACTGTACTCAAATCTTGTGACAAATAAAAAATATAATAGATATTTAGAAATCATCTAATATTTATATAGTGCCTTTATCCCCTCCAATGTAGATATGAAACTTTAGCTCTCCATGGGGCTGACAAATATAAATAACCTAGGAGCTCACTCATCTTTTTTTTTTAGTGAAAGAGGAAAAATGTACAGTTCCAAATTCATCATCTTGGGACATAGTCCTAGGTATTAAAAAAAAAAAGTTTTTCTTACAGGAGAATTGTGTCTGTTTTCAAGCAGGGTATTAATTAAGATTTTTATTAATTTACATTCTTTTCCTTGCATCCACTAGAAATATAAGGATGTGTTTTCAGGTGTACTTGGGATTTTTAAATGAGTGAGGTATGTACCATTCACTTGTCCAAAACCCACCAGAATGTGCCTATACGTTTAGTTTTCAAGAATACAGTTGAGAGAGGATAACATCCTGACTGCAAAAATGAAAGAAATAAGGTTTTGTTCCTGATATTCTTGGAAATATCCATCCACAGAAACTGAAAAATGTGCTGAATGTGACTTGACCTGATTCTTACTTAAAACCAGGTCTTGACTGGAATGAGAAAGGAGAGCCCCACGTTCTCTCAGCTGCAGCTGAAGGTCTAGTTCCTACCCAAAGGGACGTCTTCACAGGGAAAGGAAAAGAAAGTACCCTCCCCCCAGGCCCCACTCTTCTGTCTTCTATCTGCTTGCAAGCTGTGTTCTAGACTTTTCCTGAAGGCTGGTCATATTATTTCCTTAACTAGTTAGCAAGAACCTGAGGGTTTCTGTTCTACCCAGAGAGAGATTATTGCTCTCCCTTCCCCACAGAGGTTTTCTGTCTTTGAAATGCCATCTGAGGAGCTGTCCCTTCAGCACCCAAGTTCAGCATCACTTCTTTTAAAACCTTATATGTTTAAATAAATACTTAACACATCCTGTATGTTCACAACTATGCTTCAGACCAGAGGAAAGAAGGAACGGTATAAGAAAATACAACAGTTAATTCTCTTAAGGAAAATTCAGATAGTCAGTTGAGGAAATAAGATGTGTGAATGCAAACTTCTTAAAGAGACAGGTATCTTTTCATCAGTGTAAAAGCTGTTAGAAAAAGTGAATGTTCCTTCCTTCCATGACCAAGGAGACTCCTAACATAATTTACGTATTTCTCCAAGAGGGTTTCTTATCACTCCTTAATATACGCATTGTTTTTCTCATTGATGTAGACAAGATAAGACAAGAGTTAGTAATCAGGATTCATTTTAGGACCCAGAAACATTTAAGCTATTTTAAGCAGAAAGTGATTTAACACAGCAAAGTGGATGCTTACAGAATTGTTGGAAGGGCAGGGAGAAGGGTCTCTTAGCTGGACCTATAGGACCAACTCCCACAGCATTGCAGACCTGGCTCACCCAGCAAGCTACCACTTCTCTAATTGCGAACATACAGAATCAGGAGTTGACATTGAAGCTGTCCATTTCAAGAACACCCTGTTGTAGTTGCTGTCCAGAGATTAGGCAACCACTTGGCCTTGCAGCATTCCTTTCTACAACTGCCCAGAGCTAATGATTAGACACCGACATGCAGAAAAATCCCACTTCTCCACAGCCATGCTTGCCAGGAGAAGCGGCAAGAAGATGGTGTCCAACTCACTTCTGCCTTCCCTATCTTGTGCATCTAATTGGCAAAAGCAAACCTGTAGTGGTAAGGGAGTCTGGAAAATGTAGTTCTTAGCTTTCTGGCCTCTGTACTGCAAGATATGCTGGAGGATTTTAGAGCGGATATTGATCATTATTCTGTAGGACCAGCTGTAACATTTATTCTTTAAGAGGAGTGCCAGATGAGGTGAGAGCTTGAACAATTGGAACTTTGGGGAGTCGAGATGGGCTATACTTGTTGTATATATTTCTGTATTCTTTTGTGCAGACTGCCAGTTGCATTGTAAAATACAAATGAATATTAGCCCTAGATAAGATAGGAATACTCTAATTAAGCAAGAATATAGAGTTTTGAGCACCACGAGCATGTGAGTGGAGGTTGGAGTCATCCTGGAGCTGGCTGAGGAAGGAAGAGAACAGCCAGCAGTAGCCAGTTCCTCTTTTGGTCTTGCCAAAAGTTCAGAAATATATCTTTGTTTTCTTAGTTTTTTGTTTGTTTGTTTTTTAGCAAACCGACTATATTCTCTCTGTTTCAGGAGGTCCAGTGCATTTTTAAAAAATTTTTCAGATCTGAGTTTGGTTCATTTCCTACTGAGATAGATTGTCCCCCCATTTTACTTGACTTCTGCTTACCTGCTGAATGTTCAGCAGGGTGAGTACAGTGGTGAATAAAGCAGACAGACTCTGCCCTTGTGGATCTCACAATCTCGCAGGACGGCAGGCACTGAACAAGTAATTAAACCTTGTTGGGTCTTGCCAAACAGAGACGGTTATGGACGTGTTTGATGGGGGCCTGACCTCATTCAGGCGGGGGTTAGGAAAAGTTCCTGTAGGAGATTTTGTTTAAGCTGAGACCTGAGCGTTGAGTATGAGTCAGCCAGGTAAAGACAAAGAGACTGAGAAGACAGAGCACAGGATTTTCATGAGAGAAACATAAAATAGCACTTTACTCCTATAGCAACACCTTATCTAGCCCGAGATTTGTAATCACTGGTAGCTATTATGAACTATCCAAGGAAGCCTTTCCAAACAGCGCTGAAGGTATAATCAGGTACCCTAGGTTCAACTCTGCATTGGAAAGGAGATGAGTGGTTGGGTGTGGTACTTCGGGACATCAGGGATGGAGTTGTGGAGCAGGTGACTTCTGGAGTGAGATGTCCCCTGGGAGGCTCCTCTCCTTCACGTCTTAGTCACCAGGTCATGGTAGAACCACATTTTGAAAATATCCTCCCAATTTACTCCACACACTTCGTCTTACCTGCTGCTGATGTTCAGACCCTGTGCTTGCGTGCCTGGGCTACTTCAATGGCCTCCCTAGTGGTTCCTTTTGCAGTAGGCTCCCTATCCTCCAGGTTATATTCCCCATGGCTGCCAAAATTGATGTCCTTTCTAAATCGCCATCTAATAACTCTCCCCTACTTAAAAATACATGAGTCCTATCATTCACAGCGTGAAGTTCAAGCCTCTCAGAATGACTTTAAAACCATTTCACAACCTAGCTGACCCCAGCAAGACCTTGAGCCTCATCTCCTATCCTGATGCATATAATCCAGCCACACTGGGCTCCTTGAAGTTCTTAATATGCCGTATATTCTCATACCTCATGTTCTTGCTCATGACCTTCCCTTTGCCTGGTTTGTCCTTCTCCATCCTGATCTTTGCTGCCTGATGCGCTCCCTCCCGCTCATTCTTTTTTTTTTTTTTTTTTTTAGATTTTATTTTTAAGTAATCTCTACACCCAACATGGAGCTGAAACTCACAACGCCAAAATCCAAAGTTACACACTGTACCGACTGAGCCAGCCAGGCACTCTCCCTCCCACTCATTCTTTAGGGCGCATTCCCAGTGTTGCCTTCCCTGAGAATCTCTTCCCACTCACCCTCTTATATCCTGTCCTGCAGTGGGAGTTGGTGGTTTTCCTAATCTGATCATACAGCTACGAAGGCTCTTTTAACACTGTGGTTTGGTTGTTGTGTGTCTGCCTTGTCACTGGATTGTATGCTTCTCACCATCTAGTACACAGTAAAATGAATAAGTCTTCTAAAAATGATCTCCCTCTATGTTCCCTTTCATTAAAATGGTTTGTCATGGTACGACATTCTGCATGATGCTCCAAGTAGAAATTATTACATGAATATTTATTGAATGCTCACTATGTGCTAGTCATTAAGAATAATGCAACAGAAAATAGGTTAGCCACATTTCTTGCCTTGATGGAGCTTACCTTATAGTGGGGAGACAAGCCAAGTGAACAGATAACTTGCTATGTTTAGCCATCGGTAAATGGGTGATTCAGTGGTATTTTCAGAATGTTTTTGACTTCTTTTTTTTTCTCTTTCTCAGTGTTAGAGATTGATTTTGCGGAACTAACCCTGGAAGAGATTATTGGCATCGGGGGCTTTGGGAAGGTCTATCGTGCTTTCTGGATAGGGGATGAGGTTGCCGTGAAAGCAGCTCGCCATGACCCCGATGAGGACATCAGCCAGACTATAGAAAATGTTCGCCAGGAGGCCAAGCTCTTCGCAATGCTGAAGCACCCCAACATCATTGCCCTTAGGGGGGTGTGTCTGAAGGAACCCAACCTCTGCTTGGTCATGGAGTTTGCACGTGGAGGGCCTTTGAATAGAGTGTTATCTGGGAAAAGGATTCCCCCAGACATCCTTGTGAACTGGGCTGTGCAGATTGCCAGAGGGATGAACTACTTACATGATGAGGCAATTGTCCCCATCATCCACCGCGACCTTAAGTCCAGTAACAGTGAGTATAAAGAGATGGGGCTGGAGGGCTCAAGAACACTTTTATACTCAGTCCATGGCTTTGGCGGGAGTGGATTCCTAAAGGAATCTCAGTGGGCAGTGAAACTCCTTGGTTAAAACCATTCCATCCTTGAGTTGAGATATAGGGATGGAATGAGTGCCAGGAAAAATTGGTTTAGAAAGAGAAGAATGAGGCAGCCGAGGGGTTTGGAATAATTCTGAGCTCATATTAGCAGGCAAGGTTGGCAGTGTATAATTCTGCTCTGCTGTGCAATATATATCCACATATATATATAGGTAGATAGATTTTTCCACTTTAGGGAAGTGTGTCTGTAATCACAAAAGGGGTTTCCTTCTTTGGTGGAACAACAAGTAATTATAATGCCTATTTGTGTTCTACCTGACCACCCCAACTTGAGCTACCCCCCAGAGAAGGGGCTATAAGGAAGAAGAGGCATGTTGTTTAAGCTATGGAGCTGATTCGGGTGACAGTGTCCACTGGGAGAGCGTGACCTGGCTGGTAGTAGTATAGACTTCTGATAGCCTGCGGGTCTTATTAATGAATTGTTGTAACCACCTAGTGTTTAATAACAGGGAACTGAGAAGTAACTGTTTATGAAACATCCAAATCCATAAACTGGATTGTAAAGCAAGTGTTAGACATAATTATATGGTGAGTTGGTGGAAACCAGTCTCTTTCCTTGGAGGAATCTGCAGGCGCTGGGACTATGCTGCTTTTGTGTGGTAATTTGTGCTCTCTCTTGCCTGCACTGTGTGGTAGAGAGGATAGAATTTGTTAAATAGGATATGCTTAAGATGATTTTGAGCATCCTGTCTGGAGAGGGGGCATTAGAGTTTTGGAGGGGGTGGTGTGGGTCCCAGGAACTTTGCTCTCTGTCTCCTTCAGCATTGAGCCCAGAACTCCTTTGGACTTTGGTTCTGAGCTGTTCCAGATGTGGTTATTTTTCTGTCAATACTACTGTGAATGTTTACTTTTAAGAATATGGGTTTTTTGTGTGTGTCTTTTTTTGTTGTTGGACAATTATAATTATTTTTATTTTATAATTCCTTATGATTTTATTTTTTTTAATTATTAACATATAACATATTATTTGTTTCAGGGGAAAAATACATTTAAAAATTATTTAAGTAGATGTTTTTGTTGTACTAAAATTAGTAGATAAAAAAGAGAAAGATAACCAATAATGTTTTCCTTCAGGGAGTACAACTATTACATTTGGCATATCCTCCCAGACATTTTTAAAGTAAATATTTTATATATATATAAATGTATATATACATATGTTTGTACATACAGACACACCCATACACAAATAGACTTTCCAATTTACTTTAAAATAGCCTTTCTTACCCTTATCTCTTCTACCTGAGCCCTCTTCTCTCTTAATAATAGAAACATTCATCCTTGTAAAAGCATGGAACATTATATATAATTCATGTGAAGGATTTAAGTTCCATAAAATAAGATTATTCTCATCCCTCCTCCCATATTCTATTCTTTAAATATATTAAATTAAAACTTTTGGTGATCCCTTTCACATTTCTGCCTAGACATTGCTTCGGATGATGGGGTAAGAATAAGCAGATGTGTTGGTAGAAAATGTGATGTAGAAGCTGACTGTTCTTTATTTTTTCTTATATCCTTATGCTGGAAGAAGTAGGCAAAGTGCTCTAATCATACGTATTGAGTCCTTTGAAAAACTTGGGCTAGGATGACGGAATTGTAAAAGTCAATCATTTCCTCCAGGAAGTTTCAAATTTGGTTGTAATTTCAAGCTGTAAACACCAGGTTTTACCTTCCATGAGATTTGCGTTTGGAAGTCTAGGCTCTTTTGAAAGAAAAGTTACCTTGCTAAGGTTCTGCCATTTGCAGGAGATGGCAAGAGACCTCAATGTCATTCTGTCACTGGGGAGACAAAACCCTATTCTTCCTTTGTCTTTAGTGGGCTTTCAGATTGCCAAGGTGGAGCCCTCAGGTACACTGTGCTGTGGTGGGAGTTGGACTTACACGTGGTACAGTCTGACCCTTGACCTCAAGGGGGTCGCGGATGCCCAGAAATGTGTGGAGTCCACTGGGCTGCATGGTTGGTGCTGATATTGACGCCTGCTATAAACCTCACAGGGGAGTTGGGGTAGCTCCTTCACATTTGTCTGTGGTGGCTGTTTGCCTGGGATAGTGTGAATCCAGTATGAGTCTTTTTTTTCCTTCCCCCCCCCCCACCCCAGCAAAAGTTTTTATTTAAATGGTAATTTATCTGACCATTAGTTACATTAACTCATGAGGTGAGTGTTGTTTTATTTTATTATGTTACGTTAGTCACCATACATCATTAGTTTTTGATGTTGTGACCCACAATTCATTGTTTTCGTGTAATACCCAGTGCTCCATGTAGTACGTGCCCTCTTTTTTTTTTTTTTTAAAGATTTTATTTATTTATTTGAGAGAGAGAGCACAGCAGGGGGAGCGCAGGCAGAGGGAGAAGCAGGCTCCCCGCTGAGCAAGGAGCCGGATGCGGGACTCGATCCCAGGACCATGGGATCATGACCTGAGCCGAAGGCAGACACTTAACCGACTCAGCCACCCAGGCGTCCCTCCAGTATGAGTCTTGATGACACTGTTGTTTTTACTCCATTGCTCTGTGTGCATGACTTGAAAATCATTTTGGAAATGTTATGCTAGTTTTTACTCGCCATTTGGAGAGTCACAACTTCTCTGTGTTTTGCAGACCTAGGGATGCTGGCCTGTTTCTCTTGGGTTTTTTTGTTTAAGATGTTATTTATTTGAGAGAGAGAGTGAGAGCATGAGCAGGGAGGAGAGGGAGAAGGAGGCTCCCTGCTGATGCGGGGCTCCATCCCAGGACCCTGGGATAATGACCTGAGCCGAAGGCAGCCGCTTAACCGATTGAGCCACTCTGGTGCCCCTCTCTTGGTTTTTATTAAGGGTTCTAGAGAGTTGGATTTTGGCCACTATCATGTGAGGGCAGAATTCTAGGAATCATATGTGTTAGTTGACTTAGATCCACTAGGGAAAAGACTATGTACATATGGGGGTTGTCTTTGTGGAAAAAAGAAAGTAGTTGGTGATAAACATCTGTTATAAAAGGCTCAGTAGAAAGGTGATTAATTAAAATGCTTTACTATCCTGGTCACCTACTTTAAAAAGTCACGTGCCGTTAACTGGCAATGGAAGGTGTACAGCATCCTATGTTGATATATAATCCTCAATAAGTTTAGGTTTGACAGCACATAACCTAAAAACCAAAATAGCAGTGGCTAAAACAAGGTGTACGTTCATTCGTCTTTGAAAAGAAGTCTGCAGAGTTTAGGACATCCCAGTGTCATCAGGGATCCAGGCTTATTTTTCACTCCATCCCAATACATGGCTTGCATTCTCAGGCTTGCCTTATGTTCTGAGATGGCTGCTGAAATGCCAGTTTTTCGGTCCAAGTATCAGGCCTGAAGGAGAAAGAAAAGCAGAAGCACAGAAAAAGGTGCTCCTGGAGCTGAGCTGGCTCCCGTGATCCTCCCAGAAACCCAGCAAAAACACATCTGCTTGCATTAATTGGCCAGAATGTAATCATATAGCCATGGCTGGCGCAGGGGAGGCTGGGAGATGCAGGACTTTAATCTGGGTGGCAGTGAGCCCAGCTAATAATCAGGGGCTATTACCAAGGAAGAGGGAGAGCAGGGCTGGTGGGGGAAGCAGCTGGTAGTCTTCCCATGAAATCTTAATGTGGGACATGCATTGGGAAGAACTGTTTATTTCAGATGTTTGGCATCATACAACCAAACAAGGTTAGCCAGGCCCAGGGATGTGTGGCTCAGACCCCTGATTTAACCCATGGCTTATACTCCTTTACCACATTGCATCATTAACTCAAACATCACTTCTTAAAACTACTTGCAAAAAGCCCTGGCTCTGATAATGGATTTGTCTCTGCTCCGTCAATTGGGAAGAACCAGCTACTTGATTGTTAGCAAAGGGTCAACAAAAGATGGTCTTTTAGTGGAAAGATTGTCCTTTTGGGGGTTAGGTAGATGGATTTCAGGATTTTGGCTTGAAGGCATTGGGCAGAATAACAGTTCAATAGCGGTCGTTAAAACTTAAGTTAGTGTAAAAACAAGGTCGTATGAAAAAGCTTCGGAAAATGAAAAGCCTTGCCCAAAGTGAAGGTTGTGTTATCACTTTTATTTTATTATTAAATAATTTCTTCCCTCCTCTTAGAAAACAGAAGAACAGAGAGGTAAAAGCAGTGTGTTTCTCCAGTTTTTGCATTTATGGATATTTGTTTTTACCCAGAATCGTGCACGGGAAATCCTAATAACCATGTTGCTTGTAGCATGCTTTTGTGCCCCCCAACTTGTCTGTGTACTGTGACTTGTTATGTAAATAAATAGTCTTCCACCACAAGACATTTAAAGATTGCACAGGATTCCACTACTTAGATATACTCCAAACCAAACCCCTAAACTAAACCAAACCCCAATGCAACAATAATAATAATAGTAATAATAATAATAATAATAATAACACAACTGACGCTTATGGAGTGCTCTCTGTAAGGTTAGGCATGAAACATTTCATGTTGATTCGCTTTTCATTCTCACAGCAGCCCTGCAGAGTAAAGACGACGAACGTGTTTATTTTACAGAGGAGGAAACTGAGGCTCGGAAGGGGTCAGCCATTTGGCCAGGGTCTCGCCGCCGCCGGGCCTAAGGGCGGACCTTGTGGCCAGGTCTGGCCCCTTCGCCTGTGTCCCCAGTTACCACACTGTTGCCAGTACACTGCCATTGGGTGGCTGGGGCGCTTCACCTTCACAGAGCCAGGGCCCTGGGGTGCTTTGGTTTTATAGGATTAGGAATAGTATTATGCTACTCATAGAGCCACAGCATCCACATTTCCTTAAGGTCTGATCGACTCACTCTTAGTTTCATAGCAGAAAAGCAGAGGAGGTGAGTGGTGAGCTGCACGTGGTTGGG